TTAGTTACCAAAAACCAATATTTGTTTCGCGTTACAGATACGCATACACTAGAGACAACGTGGCATTGCAACATGAGAGTGAAGCAGGCAGTCCCTTCAGCTTCCACTGAAGGTGGGCGGCGATCCAGAACCAGAGGTCGTCTGGTACAAGGACGGACACGCGCGTCGTCGTCATGCCGATTCGCTGAAGTAAGCTTATAAAATAACCTCTGGACGTCTGTCCATCAAGCTTTCTCTTCATCTATAGTAATTGTGCGATGCAGATGTAAGTGTCCGTAGACGTTTGCCGTTGTTCTATTGCGTTTGCTCATCTGATCCTTGTATAATGCGTATTTTTACGCAATACACATAGAACTCACAAACGCGCTTGGTGCGTGATTGTGACTGTTTTTTTCGATAACCACTATGCACATGTCTTCAGCATGAACGTGCGAGGCGAAAAGACATCCAGCCCTTATTAACAAGAGCGCCAAAGAATGCGCCGGCCCTGTACACAATTCAGTTAAAGAGTGAGACGCGGCAAGACGAGGCCCACGGCGAACGTGATCTGTATTCGACAAGCCTGGAGCACCAGAGGCTCCACCTAGAATGTCTCTGACCATCACCAATGGAAAGCTGTGTATGAATCATGGAAGACGCCGCAGACCGCGTGCTCTGAAGATAGTGTCAAGATAATTTATTCATGAGTTACGCAAATCATCTGTTTCTATGTCTGCAGAGTGACATTGGCTTTTCGGTAGATCCAATCATTTGTTGAACGGTAGCCATCGAATATATCCGATTCACGAACTACACCTTATCAGAATGAGTGTAGTTTCTTCCTTACATACAATGGACATAACGATTAATAAATTATTAATAACAATGATGATAATAATAAGCGATATTATTATTAATATTATTAATTTAGCCATCATTAATTTTTATGCTTATATATCAACGAGTCTAACACTTATTATAGGACTCCTGAATAACATATCACACCAAATATTTGAGATATATCATGCATATAGTGCGTGTCTAACTTAATCACATCTGAATCGAAAAGAAAAACTTGGATTTCAAAAACCCATCACTGTACACGTACCGTGCGTCGTACAGTACACATGTGCTTCGCGAAAAGTAAACCGGCCGAAACGTTGCTCTTTACAGTGACGCGTACACGAAAGTGGAACGACGCACAACGAAGAAGGACGCGCTGGCAAGTTCGCTGAGGAACATGGTGCACCAAGCACAGCTACACGGATGCGCGCTGCACAGAGGGCCACCGAGTACGGAGATTCCGCCGTCTCCGCAGAGAACCCGTCCGGACTCGGACCTCCACTATCTCTGCGCGCATGGTCGCAAAGTAATATAGTTTACAAACCCAAATAATGAGGATTAAAGCTGAACTCGTTAAGACGCGTGTAACTCTAAACCCACAGTCATGTTGACTCTGTGGAGGACGAGGCACACACACATACCGAATGGATTCTTGGCACGCGTAGGCTCTGTTGTCTCCAACGGTGCGGACTCTCCTTCCGAATTCACCGCTCTCACTCTGAACTGGTACTCCTTGTTCGGTATCAGCTTAGTGACGCTGATGTCCAGCTTGTGCGCCTCTCCGACCTCCATCCACGTGCCTCGGCTCGTTTCCATCTTTGACACGATGTATTTGATTATCTCGCTGCCTCCGTCGTCTTCGGGAGCCTTCCAGGAAAGCTTGGCTGTCTCCTTGGTAACGTTGCTAACGTTTAGTGGTCCCTGCGGCTGACTGGGCACGTCTGTGATGAGGATAAATGTTTGTTAATTGAACTGGAGTTTTATACTTGTTGTACTTCTATGTTTGCACTTTTTTGCTTGTTATCTGCCTTCTCTGCGGACTACACAATGAAGCTCTTGATAATGACTTACTTGAGTATATATGAATACATAAATTAATATCTATATATATAGTAGATAATAAATATATTCAGTTGGCATTTTACCACCCCAATAACCCACAGAAATTGCACATGATTCAGTAATAACTATATATAGTTGAATAAGTAGTGATACTTTGTAGTATGAACAAAAATGTGAAATAGTATAATAAAAGAGTGAAAACCCATTTTGCTATTGTGCTACTAATGTGCAACGTGCCAACGTGCCAACGTTGCAACGTGCAACCTGCCAAATGTGCCTATACGGCTTCGCGCAAGCTATGCGGGGACTTACCCACAACCACGACTTTGCAGCTTGCCGATTCCTTGCCAGAGGCGTTCTTCACGGTAAGCGTGTAGGCGCCAGAATCTGTTCTTGTCGCCTTCTTGATTTCCACCTTGGTGATGGTCTCTGTGCTACTGACCGTCGTCCTGTCCGATGCCTTCAGTGGCTTGCCCTCCGCCGTCCACTCAACCTCGGGCGCTGGCTCGCCACCAATGCGAACGTTGAAATTGATCTGCTGCCCCACTCGTACTTTCATGTCTTTCAGCGCAGACTTGTCAATGTGAGGCGCGGCTGTGAAGTAAGCGCATTTATCACCTTTCTCTCCTCCATCTTTTTAGTTACTTCAAGTGCTAAATATTAGTCGGGTACCTTTGTCGTAGGGTCGTTATACGTGCAGATATAACTCCGATTGTGCCTATAGATTAAATCTGAGTCTATTTTCAGCGATAGTATTTTAAATTTAAAAGTTCATGTCTGTGTACCTCTACACCTGCCTACTCTACGTCTACCGACTGTACCGTAAGGATTCTTTGCGACCATGCGCGCAGAGATGAGTGGAGGTCCGAGCCCGACGGCGTTCTCTGCGGAGACGCGGAACTCGTACTCGGTGCCCTCGTGCAGCCGCGACACCGTGTAGCTGTTGCTGTGCACCATGTTGCTCAGCGAACTCCAGCGGTCCTTCTTCGTGTTGCGTCGCTCCACCGTGTACGCACTGTAAAGAGCAACGTTTCGCGCCGGTTTACTTCGCGAAGCCATGGTACGTACGACCACGTAGCGGTTACGGCGATGGTTTTTGAGTTTTCTTTTGATTTGAATGATTAGTATACGCACTAATCATGATTATATCTCAAATATTTTAGTGTGATATTATCAGGAGTCTATCAATAGTGATAGACTCCTGATATTATAACATAAAATTAATGATGCTAATATTAATAATATTAATAATAATATCCATTATTATTATCATCATTGTTATTAATAATTATTAATCGTTATCGTTATTGTTATGAGGAGAGGAATACACTCAATTCTGATAAGGTTAGTTCGTGAATGGATTATATCGATCTACCGTTCAACAAATGATTGGATCTACCGAAAACCAATGTCACTCTCAGACAGTAGAACAGGTGATTTGCGTAACCATGAATAAATTATCTTACACTATCTCAGAGCCACCGTCGTCTTGCGGCGTCTTCCATGTCAATACACAGCTCTCCTTGGTGATGTCAGAGACTTCTAGTGGACCTTCTGGTGCTCCAGGCTTGTCGAATACAGTCACGTTAGCCGTGGCCTCGTCTTGCCCCGTCTCACTCTTTAACTTGATTGTGTACAGGCCGGCGTCATTCTTTGCCGCTCTTTTGTTAATAAGGCTGATGTTCTTTTCCCTCGCACTCATCTGAAGACATGTGCATATAGGTTCATGAAAAAACAGTCACAATCACCACAAAGCGGTTTGTAGTCTATGTGTATTGCGTAAAAATACGCATGATACAAGGATCAGAATAGCAATAAGCAATGGAACAACGCAACACTCTAGGAACACTGACATCTCAATCGGCCAAATCATTACTATAGATAAAGAGAAAGCTTGATGGTACAGACGTCAGAGGTCATTTCATGAGCTTACTTCAACGAGATCGGATGATGAGACGCGCTCTCCGTCCTTGTACCAGACGACCTCTGGTTCTGGATCGCCTCCCACCTTTACGTCGAACCTGAAGGGACTGCCTGCCTTCACTCTCATGTCTCGCATGGCCACCTTCTCTATGTATGGCGTCACTGTAACCGAAACAAATATTGGTTTTTGTAAACTATGAAAAAGGCAATGAATACTTTATAGGGTAAGCCCTAGCTGATTCAACTTTATTCAACCTTGCCCTATTTCAACCTTTTCCAATTTTAAGATGATAACATGTGAATAACACCACTTCCACTGATTACACTACGCACAATGCGAAGCCAAATGCTAAATCTGTTAATGCTAAATCTGTTACTAAATCTGAGAAAACGTTGTGGCCGTATGGTTTGTTCTCGGGACAGTAAGGACAAGCATTAAGGCAAGTTTCATCCCTTGGGGCTTTTTAAGTCACTTGTGATGGCCGAGTGATAGGCCATTTCGAGCACTGGACTCTTACCGAAACGTTCCTTTGCCGTGATGGTCTGCGAGGCCTCACTTGGCTGACCAGGTCCGGCCTTGTTTACTGCGATTACTCTGAACTCGTACTCTGTGCCCTCCTTTAGTCCGGTAACCGTGTAGCTCGTTTTCTCTGACGTTCCAGCCTTTGACCACTGAGACCTTTCTTTCTTCTCGATTATATACGACTCGATAGGAGCACCGCCGTCAGATTCAGGTGCCTTCCACGTCAGATCTGCTTTCTGCTGAGACCAATCTTCTATTTCCGGCTTTCCTGGGGCGCCTGGCTCGTCTGCAAACATATACGATGTTATATATTTTACGACATTTATCGTACTCGGTCTTTTAGAAAACACACACGCGCGCGCACGCACACATGCACAAACACACGTGTATATGTATATATTATATATATATCTATATATATATATATATATATATATATATGTATATATATATGCTAGTTATTTATTTATATGAAAGTAATTATAGTTTAACAAACCCAAATAATAAGATTAAAGCTGAACTCGTTAAGACGCGTGTAACATCTAAACCACAGTCATGTTGCTCTGTGGAGGACGAGGCACACACACTACCGAATGGATTCTTGGGCACGCCGTAGCTCTGTTGTTTCCAAACGGTGCGGATCTTCCTTCGAATTTCACCGCCTCTCACTCTGAACTGGTACTCCTTGTTCGGTATCACTTAGTGACGCTATGTCCAGCTTAGTTGCGGCCTTCGACCTTCCATCCAGCGTGCTCGCTCGTCTCCATCTTTTGGACACGGATGTATTTGATGATCTCGCTGCCTCCATCGTCTTTCGAGCTTCCAGGCAGAGTTTTTGCCGTTCCTCTGGTAACGTTGCTAACGTTTAGCTTGGTCCCTGCGGGCTGACTGCGGCACGTCTGTGATGAGGAGGTAAATGTTGTTAATTGAACTGGATTTTATACTTGTGTGTACTTCTATGTTTGCCATTTTTTGTGTTATATCTGCCCTTCGTCTGCGAACTACACCAATGAAGCTCTGATAATGACTTCGCTTGAGTATATATGGAATACATTAAATTAAATATCGTCACTATACTATAGTAGATAATAAAATATTCAGTTGGCATTTACCAAACACCAATAACCCACAGAAATTGCACATGATTCAGTAATAACTTATATATAGTGAATAAGTAGTGATACTTTGTAGTATGAACAAAGTGTGAAAGAGTATATAAAAGAGGTGAAACTCCATTTTGCCTAATTGTGCTTACTAATGTGCAACGTGCCAACGTGCCAACGTTGCCAACGTGCAAACCTGCCAAACGTTGCTATACGCCTCCGCGCAAGCTATGCGCGGACTTACCCCACAACACGACTTTCTGCAGCTTTGCCGATTCCTTGCCAGGAGGCGTTCCTTCACGGTAAGTGTGTAGGACGCCAGAAGTTCTGTCTTGTCGCCTTCTTGATTTCCACCTTGGTGATGCGTCTCGTGTGTACTGACCGTCGTCCGTGTCCGATGCGCTTCAGTGGTTGCCCTCAGCTGTCCACTCAACCTCGGGCGTGGCTCGCCGCCAATGCGAACGGTTGAAATGATCTGCTGCCCCACTCGTACTTTCATGTCTTTCAGTTGCAGACTTGGTCAATGTGGGGCGCGGCTGTGAAGTAAGCGCTATATCACCTTCCTCTCCTCATCTTTTTCAGTTACTTCAGGTGCTAATATTAGTCGGGTACTTTGTCGTAGGGTCGTTATACGTGCAGATATAACTCCGATTGTGCCTATAGATTAAATCTGAGTCTATTTTCAGCGATAGTATTTTAAATTTTAAAGTTCATGTCTGTGTCTGTGTGCATAAAATTTCACGTTAACTAAAAAGTCGCCGAGGTATTTAAGGCGAGACACTTATATAGCACTTATATAGCATCTATATAGCATCTATATAGCACCTATATAGCACCTATATAGCACTTATACAGCACCTATATAGCCACCTGATATAGCACCTATATAGCACCTATATTAGACCTATATAGCAATCTAATATAGCCACCTATATAGCCACCTATATACACACCTATTATGCACCTATATAACCACCTATATAACCTATATAACACCTATATAACACCTATATAGCCACCTGTATAACACCTATATAACACCTATATAACACCTATATAGCACCTGCCTATAACACCTATATAATCACTATATAGCACCTATATAGCACCTACCCTATAGCACCCTTATAGCACCTATCCTAACGACCATATCATTACCACTATATAGCACCTATATAGCACCTATATAACACCTATATAACACCTATATAGCACCTATATAGCACCTATATAGCACCTATATAGCACCTATATAACACCTATATAACACCTATATAACACCTATTAGACCTATATAACACCTATATAACACCTATATAACACCTATATAACACCTATATAACCCTATATAGACCTATATAGCACCTATAAGCACCTATATAGCACCTATATAACACCTATATAACACCTATATAACACCTATATAGCACCTATATAACACCTATATAACACCTATATAACACCTATATAGATTTATACACTATATAACACCTTATAGCCACCTATATAGCACCTATATAACACCTATATAGCACCTATATAGCACCTATATAGCATCTATATAGCACCTATATAACACCTATATAGCACCTATATAGCACCTATATAACACCTATATAAACACCTATATAACACCTATATAGCACCTATATAACACCTATATAGCACCTATATAGCCACTATTAAATCACGCTGTATAAACTATATATACACTATATAGCACATATAGCGTCGTCTCTGCTTGCACTCACCGAAGCGCGCTTTAGTGGTGACGGCGCGAGACGCGTCGCTCGGCTCCGACTGTCCCGCCTCGTTGACGGCGCGCACGCGGAACTCGTACTCCTCGCCCTCCGCCAGGTTGCGCACGACGGCCGCAGTCTGCTCGGCGCCCACCTCGATACAGACGCTCCAGCTGACGCTGAACTTGTCCTTCTTCTCGATGACGTAACCACTGATCGGCTTTCCGCCGTCGCTGCGCGGCGCCGTCCAGCGCAGGTTGACGTGGTCGCGGTCCCAGTCGTCGATCTCCGGCGTGCCTGGCTTGTCGGAACATCTGTGAAGCGAGCGTATATGGCGCGTGGTAACGACGGGGTTTCACGACTGATGAGCGATTCTACAGTCGGCAGCTGGCAGATTACGGCAGAGTCCGAGTTTTTATTTTGGAAAAATCCAGATACGTGTAAGATGAGACGTAATAAGGAGTACATTAGTAGAGATCTCGATATGAAGATGAATACAAGAATTGAGATCGCGATATGAAGATGTGTTACAAGATAGATCGCGATATGAAGGATAGTACATGAATAGAGATCGCGATATGAAGGATAGTAGGCCTACATGAATAGAGATCTAGATATGAAGATGTGTACAAGAATTGAGATCGCGATATGAAGGATAGTACATGAATAGAGATCTAGATATCTCTATTCACGTACTCGTAATGTAATTGTAGAAAAATACAGCATAGTTTCATTAAGTACAAGACGACGTCGTAGCACGTTTTAAAAGGCCACGCTACAACCGTTTTTAAAATATGTTTCAACACGCGAAAATTATCGGCGTGAACAGAGAATGAACCCTTTATTAACAGCCCCCCCCCCCGCCGTCATTGCTCTATTAGAAACTGTAAACCGCAGAGTGTGTTTATCATATATATGTAACCAAGAACATGTAAAGTGTACATAAACTGCATTATAACCATAATAGTACTTAATACACAATACGCAAAATGCACGATTGCCGCGCGAATGTGCACGTGCGACGCGAAAAGGAAAATAATTCAAGATATCTACCGAAGGCATCCTTCGCCGTAATGGGCTCTTTCGTCGTCACCGGTTCCGACTCGCCCTGTCGGTTGACCGCCTTCACGCGGAAGCTGTACTGTCGCTTGTGCTGTAGCTTGGTGACGGTAAGGAAGAGCTGCGGTGTCGTACCAAGGTCGCTCCAGCGCGCCTTGCCCACATCCATCATCTCGATGCTGTACTGCGTGATCGGAGAGCCGCCGTTGTCGTCGGGTTCCTCCCACGACAACACGCACGCTTCCTTCGTGATGTCCTTAACGGCGATGTTCCTGGGAGGAGACGGCTTGCCTGCGCACGCGGACAAGAGGAAGCGAGAGAACGTTACGCTGCGACCGATGATGCGAAATTGCAAAATTCGCGCGCGAAAACCCGGATGTGAGGAGGATACGAACTGGGCACGGATCCGTCGAGAAGCAGAGACTAGCGAGTGCATGCAACGTATAGTTCGCCGAGACTCGGCTGCGAACGAGCGTTGATGGGTATTTACGTGAGTGTTGATGGGTATTTACGTGAGCGTTGATGGGTATTTACGTGAGCGTTGATGGGTATTTACGTGTCGTAACCCGTGCGATTACGAGCAAGGGCCTTACCGAGCACGGTGACGTTGGCAGATGCCGAGTCCGTGCCCGACGCGTTCTTCAGCGTTAGCGTGACCTTGCCAGCGTCCGTGCGCTCAACGTCGCGGATTTTCAGCATGCTGCTCTTCTCGGTCGTCTTGATCGTGACCCTGTCGCCGGCGCTCAGCGGTTTGTCGTCGACGCTCCATGTCACTATCGGCGTGGGGGCGCCACTGGTCGGTATGTCGTACTCAAGCGTCTGGCCCACCTTCAGTCTCTGGTCTTCCAGGCGGTGTTTGTCTATCTTTGGAGCAACTGTGCACGAACATAATAGACAAGATTAGTTGATGCAAAATGCAATAACATGGAGGGCGTATTGCAGTACTGAAGACGGAGTGTGTCGATCTTCGTCGAAGATAAAACTCACATATCTTGCGATGGAATTACCATTGCAATTGCTACAAATTACATGCGTTACTACTTAAGTGATCACACTTTAATCTAATGAACTTGAATTATTGTTTAGCAGCAAAGCCATACACGGGTGTATGCAGATTAGACGAAGTCACAAGTTATCTTACCATTTTGCGCCTTGATCTCTACAGGTACGGAGTTAGAGCTGGGCTCGCTTGGGCCAGCCTTGTTTACTGCAATGATCCTGAACTCATATTGAGCTTTTAGCTCTACGTCTTTCACAGTTCCCTCTGTTTCAGGAGCCTTGACTCTAGCGATCTTCAAAAGATAGATGTTGGATGAGTTTTTTTGTTTATTTATTTATGTTTTTTTTTATTCAATTATTCATTTATTCATTCATTTAGTTAATTAGTTAGTTATTTGATATATTATTAAACACACGAACATAAATTCAACTATATTCTAGGATACTTCCAATATACTTCTACTAATTATTTCATTAGGCTAAGCTTCTTTGAACAAGTACCTACTAAAATTAATTCCGTCGACTTATATGAAATTACTATTCTATTTCATTACATCAGGAGCGTATAATGACAAATATTTGACAAATAACGACAAATAATGACAAATAATGACAAGTATTTGTCATTATACGCTCCTGATTACATCTACTCGGTGAACAGAAATCGTAATCTAAGTGTCTATCACAGAAATTCCCCTTTGTACCTTATTCCAGTATGTGCTGAACATCTCTTTCCGTTCAATCACGTAGTCAGTGACGGGCGATCCGCCATCGCTTTCAGGTGCCTCCCACTTTAGCGTCACATACTCAGCATCAAATGATACAATCTCGGGTGTACCTGGTCGACTGGGAACGTCTGCGTGGAATAACATTAAAATATGCAAGAGTTTAGGGGAATTAAATGGATTTTCCCCTCGTTGGCTCAGGCCGAAGTAACAATGGGCCACACTATACGTTCGATTAGACTATATTATCTGGATACTGGTTGTTGTAGCTAGATATTAACTACTCACCATACCACGTAAAAAATATGTCATGCTAATAAATATCACAAGTTGAGACGAATGATAGAGAGATGGTGAGAGCACAACGAAATGTTTTCAATATCATGTTTAGCCTAAAAGCATACCGTATGGTGGTTTGGCGGTTGCCTTGGACGGATGACTAGGTGGGCTGGGTCCTGCAGCATTGAGGGCTATAACTCTATACTCGTACTCGCGACCCTCAGTGACAGTGTGGTCCGTGTACATGATCTCCTGGACACGTGCAAAACCCATATTGCATTCATGCGACGTATTTACGTGAACAATTCAACTTTCGAGAGTGTATAGTAGTTAAACTATTACAATAAAAGTTATAAATAAAGTTGTAATAAAATATTTAAACTATTATACGCATTATAGTATACTCGTTATTATTAAGATGAGTTAAAATTGCATTATATACCATTTAATATTCATTATGCAATCTTTTGATCCTATTTATAGGGTGTGTTAATGTTTTCTGAATGAAACATTCTCCATCCGACGCGACTATGTTTTTTTCCCATAATGAGAGCGCATATAGTGCCTGTAGCATTAAGCGATGGATAAATATGCATACTGAAATACTTTTATAGTAACTGACCTTCATAGCTTGCTTGTTTAGTTTGATCCATTTCGCACTCTTTGGCTCCTTCCTCTCCACATCGTAGCCAGCGATTGGGCTTCCCCCGTCGCTCTCCGGAGCTGTCCACTTGATGCTGATGTGATCGCTATCAGTCTCGGTGACATCGGGACGACCTGGGGCTCTCGGTTCATCTACAGTAGAGAAGGTAGCGTAATGAACAAACCGCGAAAACTCCAATACACGCATTTGATGAACATCAACCGCTCTGCATTCGCATACTCGATCTATGGCGCTCTAGCTTAAGTACTTAAACTATGGTTTAAACATGGTAAAACTATGGTAAAAGTGCTTAATTAAGTTTAAACTAGGTACACGGTTATAAGCTAGTTCATGTTCTTTTTTATGTTACCGCCCTCATTAATTTGATTTATTACTAGGTCTAACTCTCACTCATTATTTTGATTCATTACTAGATCTAACGCTCACTCATTATTTTGATTCATTACTACGTCTAACGCTAACATATTAATTTGATTCATTACTAGATCTAACGCTCACCGTAGGGGTTCTTGGCGATGGTTGGCACATCTGAGAGCAGCGGGTCGGATAAGCCGACGCTGTTCTCTGCACGCACTCTGAATTCGTACTGGCTTCCTTCGGTGAGCTTCCCCACGCTGCATCTTGTATCCTTCACAAAGTTGTTCACAACAGTCCAGTCCGCCTTTGCTGTGTTTTTCCTCTCGACCGAGTACGATCTAATGTAAATAGACAAACAATCTAAATCGCCATGCACGTAGTCAGACGCCCGAGATACACTACTATTGGCGATATGCAATCGTGCATAGAATGATTTTTCATCACAGCTTTGAACTGTGCGCAAGCTTACAGGATTTCGCTGCCTCCGTCCTCTTTGGGTGGTTTCCACGATAGTTTGCAGCTGTCTTTAGTGACGTCACTCACGTCTAGCGGGCCCTCGGGCGCGGCCGGCGTGTCTACAAATATGCAGCAACAAATTAATCAAGCAGATAGAAATTAACACCGTAACAAATTAAACAATTGAATCGTAAGTCATCTGCTCGAATGAGACGAGAGGCGGAAGAGGTCAGCGCGGGAGAGGGGTTAGCGGTAAAATGTAGACATGAGGTACCTAGCACGATGACAGCGCAGTTTCCGCTGTCCTTGCCGGACTCGTTCGTCAGCGTGAGTGCGTAGCGGCCGGCGTCTGAGCGCTCCGATCGCTTGCAGATGAGGTGCGTCTGATTGTCGCGATTCTCGATCGTCAGCTTCTCGGTCTTGATGACCTTCTTGCCGCCGACGTCCCACGCGACTTCTGGTACCGGTACACCCGTGAAGCCAATCAGCAGCTCGAAGGGCTGACCGGCCTTGACCTTGATGTCCTTAAGGTCGTCTCGGTTAAGCTTTGGTGATTCTAACGACCAAAGAAGAGTTGCTATAACGCGGGGACGTATCTCCTCACCGGATGATAATACAATGTCGATTGATATACGTGCACAGTGGTCCCCGTTTCGTGGGGACAAGTCGGGAATCATGAATTTGTCTAGATTAGGAGGTGATCCCGATTAAGAGGTGAGAACAATGAGCGTGATGATTATTTTTTGTTTACAAGACATTTGTCGTGTGAGCGATGCGTCCGTTTATCTGAGACCCGGTAAAGCAGGGATCGCCGTATTATTAAGTCAAGTTGACTGGAGCACACGCAGACGGCTATTCCAACACATCTGCGCGTGATTACCTATCGTTCGCCAATATAATGAGCCAGATACACGTACACGACACACGTAAAAAAAAATCTTTTGTATTGTGACCATTGTCCATTGTTCTTCAACCATCACACTCGTTGTTCCCCCGCGTTTTCCAGCTTGCAACAATAATATAGCATACGTATTCAATAAAAAATTAATAGCATTTTTCAGCAATCCAGTCAACGCACGGGCACATGTTGTTTCCCAACTTTACAAACAGCGAATCGCAGTAGCACGTACCGGGAGTTTCCTTGATGGTGACCAGATGCGTTGGCTTGCATGGGTCGCTGCGGCCCGCTGCATTCTCGGCGATCACGTGGAACATGTACTCATCGCCCGTGGGGAGGTCCGTCACCGTGAACTTACAGTCAGACACGGGACGTGTAGTCGCCGGCCTCCACTGCTCCTCTCCTCTCTTTTTCATCTCGACGATGTATCCTGCAGTGTGTGTAGTAACGAGAGAAGTGACTGTAGTGTCGCACCGGCCTGGCTATATACTAATGTATGGGACTATATGCTGGATGGCTTCGTATAAGCATCCGAGCCGTTTGTTTCTAATAACGGCGATAACGTCAAATGCGTTATATCGTTTACCGTACGATGAATGCGGTGATAAATACGACGTAATTAGAGATAGGAACTTGCTAATGGCAAGGTACCATATTTCAGTCTAAAATCAGATGTGACAGTACCTCTGATATTAGGTTAGGTGATGTATATTTTTTGCATAGATATTTAAGGCTGAAAGCACGAACTACTTCTGTGATTTGTCACGCCTTCTGTATATACGTGTTTGGCAACATGCAACTTTGATTTTACGTTAACTTAATTTTCTAATGTGTGCTGTAGTGCGTCGCATACCTGTAATCTTGCTTCCGCCATCCCTGCGCGGCTTCTCCCAGACGAGACTCACTGACGACTTGGTCGTGGTCTCCACCGTGCAGTTCTGCGGACTGTCTGGTGGATCTGCATGAGAAAGATCTCTTATCGTTAGAGACCGCATAGACGATGGTGTCTCGCAGAGGCATTTATATTTGCGTTACTCACGCGTCACGAATATGTAGCACACAACTACCGCTTGGTCACAACGCAGACGCAATGGTCAAACCACGCGAGCACATTCTATATTCAGCACTTTCCACGTATTGTATCGATCTCGAATTATAAAGCGATCTAACTGTTAAAAAACCAAGTAACTCGGAGCGCATGTATCGTATTGCTCGGTTTGCTCGGAATGATAGGAGCACGTTGCTCGATCGATGCATCAACGAAGGCACTACCTATCGGCTCGCGAATGACGACCTTGTCCGATGGCTTGCTTGGTTTGCTCGTGCCAGCGGTGTTCACGGCCGACACGCGGAACTCGTACTCAGAATTCTCGATGAGTCCCAGCACTTGGTATTTCAGCTTTTCTATCGGCTCAACGTTCACCGCCGACCACTTGCTAACGGAGGTGTCCCTCTTCTCGAGCATGTAACCTGAGAAACGTTAGCGTCAGTGCGGGCTGCTGCGACAGAGCGAGTTTTTACACAGAGGTGTCGTAATCTACTTCACTCACTTCTCGTAAGGGGGAGCTGTCGACATAGATCAGTAACATTAGCATATTCAAAACTATCAGGAGACTCGTTGGCGTCTCTGCGCCGGCATGCGAGTGTGATCTATGTGGTGACTCACCGATAACCGGGCTGCCACCATCGGTGGTTGGTGGTTTCCATTCTAGAGTGGCTGAAATTGAGTTGTAGCTTTCGATCTTGGGTGCACTTGGCGCTCCAGGTGTATCTGTTAACAAGGACACATAATATCATGAAGGCGACGTTAAAGAAATCACATCGGAATAGCGTGAATACAGCAAGGCCTAATGCGAAGCGAGCACACTGATCGAATATTAAACATAAAAGAATAAAAGGCTCTTACACCTAGTTACGATGTCTGATAACAAAATACCGTCGAATTGATCAAATATATCAACGAAGTAAAAAAAACTGGGATATCGCACCGAACGGACTCTTCGGCATGACGGTGGCGCCCTCCAGTGGTTCGCCTACTCCATAGAAGTTCTCGGCGCTGACGCGGAACCTGTATTTCTCGCTCACGACCAGATCCTTGACGGTGTACTTAAGCAACGAGACACCGCTGCTTACTGACGTCCACCTGTTACTGCTTGTCTCCTGCTTCTCAATCACATATCCTGTAGCGGGAGAAATGAAATGTATATAAAAGTGTGAGCGAAGTAGATAGTGACAGACAGAGAGAAAGAAGAAGGGAGAGCGCGAAAGAACGACAGAGAGCGTGAGAGAGCGATAGAGAGCGCGAGATAGCAATACAGTGACAAACAGAAGGAGAGAAAGGTGTGCGCTTTCTCGAGAGAGAGAGAGAGAGGGGGGGAGGGAGAGACAGAGAGGGAGGAGGGAGATGAGTTCGAACATGGAAATGCATTTAAATAATGAGTGATGATGATTCTGATGCGCTGGTATTCTGCTATTATAGATAATTACCGCGTGCCTACCACACATATCTATGTTTAAATGTGCAAAGATAACGTAGCAAGATATCGAATAGCAGCATTATAAGGCGTGTTTGATGAACTTACCGTGTATTTCCATACCACCATCATCCTTTGGTGGTTTCCAGACTAATGTAACAGTTCCCCTGTCCACATCCTCGTACCTTAGAGGACCTTCCGGGGGACCAGGTTTGTCTGGAACAACCGCGTATTTCATCAGCCACATGGCGCAATAATTTCTTTCTTTTTTTAATTAATTTGGGTTTCAATATCGAATGTTTCCCTTTAAATGCATTGAGACAACGCATTATTTGAACCAACCGAGCATATTCCAAGAAACAGCGAAGGTCTGAGAGGTCTGAAAACGCCCCGTATCTTATCTGCCTACCGAGAACGATGTAAGAAATGGTTCCAGTGTCCTTCCCTGCCTCGTTCTTTAGCTGAATCTCGATTGGACCGGCGTCCTCTCTGCGGGCAGCGGGGCTGTGTATGTGCACGTCCTCCTCTCGGCCCGTCAACTGTAGGTGAGTGCTCGACGACAAAGGCTTGCCGTCTCGCGCCCACGTCACGTCCGGCTGGGGCGACCCAGAGATCGGAATAGAGACATCTACCGTCTGACCTGCCTTCACCTTGATGTCTCGGCTCAGCAGCTTTTCCAGGTGGATCTTGGGTTTTTCTGCAGCAAATAGGTTGAGGATATATAGGCTTAAGAAATTATACAAGAAATTGTACATGAAATTACTCAGTGCATATATATATAGGAATAAGAAAAATGAGAATTCCATTAAACTAATGACGGGGTATATTTATCAGCATACTTATTTTATCGCTGATGACCATCCTATCATTCTGGAAGGTCAGTAAATGTTATGTGCTTAGCTATGCATCCTTGTTATGAATTGTCGAAAGTTAGGAATATTATAATGTAATATTTTATAAATTACTGTAAGGGAGAACTTAATACATATTCATCATACGAAAACTGTATAAAAAGAAAATAGTATTATAATTTATTATTACTTTAAGTATGCACCATGTTTATACTTTTCAAGCACGGAGACTCGTCAAGATTTAAAACATACTAGATCTTGATATGGAGGATAAAAAGGTAAGAGAAAGCACAAAAAATAAGCATACCGAATTTAGCTTTGACTTTGACAGCTTTAGAGTGATTGCCGGCTGGACCGGGCCCTGCTGCGTTGTTTGCAATAATACGATACTCGTATTCCTGCTTCTGCATAACCTCAGTGTCCTTGAATTCCAAACCCTGTCGCAAATAAAAGTAAACTTACGGTAAGACGCCAGTCGTGATCGTTGTTCTATTCGCTCTTCAAAATAATTGCTGCGGGCGTTTTATCGAAAAATATTACAACGAAGTGTACGTTACTGTCATCAAGTTAATCATAGTGGACGAACGTTGAATGAATCTTACTGGAAATTTTTGATATTCGTTGTACTTTTACTTTTGTTACTAGTACCAGTTACTTTGTGCTTATGATAGACGCAGTTGCAGAACACTTACCTTGACGTCTTTGCCGACAACGCTCCACTGTCGGCTCTGTTTCTCCTTCCTCTCTACCGTGTAGCCGGTAATGGGGCTTCCTCCGTCCTCGGCAGGTAGTGTCCATCGGATTGAGATAAAGTCGATGTCAACCTCTATGACGTCGGGAGCTGCCGGGGCCCTCGGTTCCACTATCGGACAAAGCAAATATGGCGTAATGTTATGCGGTCATTCCAATACACACTACGCATCGGAATGAAGATGCCCTGCGAAACACGGGCCGATGTTGGTAATTGAAAAATTAATACCATCGCGTGCTAAACCTAACACTAATCCTAATCCTAACCCAAATCCCAATACTAACCATAATTCTAACCCCAACCCTAACCCTAACTTTAGCTCTAACCCTAACGCTACCCCTGACCATAAACTTAACCCTAACTCTAACCCTGACCCTAACTCTAAACCTCACCCTAACCCTAACCCAAACCCTAACCGCATACATTATCACTCGTTATTGTAAATGTTTCGTCAAAAACGAGCGACGAACTTCTTGATTTCACAATAGCGCTACTTATACCCCATACAGACTGCAAAATTTGATCAAGTTGCAGTCTGTACGGGGTATTAGCCGTGTTGTTACGATGGCTGCCTACCGTACGGTGCCTTGATGAGAACTGCCGTGACCGTCTCCAGCGGCTCGGACGTTCCGTGAACGTTGACGGCGCACACCCTGAACACGTACTCCGTGTTCTCGTTGAGCTTGTCTGCATCGATGGTCAGACCCATCACCTGCTTGCTGACCGATGTCCAGCTCTTCTTGTTCTTTTCCTTCTTCTCGACCGTGTAGCTTCTGCACCGCAGCAAATTCATTTGTTTATTATAATTACTATAATAAATATTAAAATTATTATCTATCTATCTATCTATCTATCTATCTATCTATATCTTCTATAATCACTATCTATACTATCTCATTCTATCATATCATTTTCTAATCTATTATCTCTATCTATCTATCTATCATATCTATCTAATCCTATCTATCTATGCTATCTATCTATTCTATCTATCTACTCTATCTACTATCCTATCTAATCTATCTATCCTATCTATCTATTCTATCTATCTATCATCTATCATCTATCTATCTATTATTATCTACTCTATTTATCCCTATCCTATCTATGTATCTATCTATCTATCTATCTTCATTCTTTATCTATCTATCTATCTATCTATCTATCTATCTATCTATCTATCTAGTATCTATATCTATTATCTGATCTATCTATCTTATCTATATAATCTATCTATCTATATCAATCTATCTATCTATCTGTCTATGCTATCTACTCTATCTCCTTAATCGTATCCTATCTAAACTACCTAGCTAGCTAGCATCTATAATATCTAACTATTTATTTATTTATTTATTAATCTTTGAGCCATCTATTATTCAATTTCTGATGACGAATATAGAGGTAGTTGAAATTCATGAACTCGCTGCGTTACGTACGTGATCTCGCTCCCGCCATCATCGGCCGGTGGCTTCCATGTAAGAGTGCAGCTGTCCTTTGCAATATTTGTGACTTCAATCGGACCAGTTGGTGGCTGCGGCTTGTCTGCAAATAATATAGTAGTATGTATATGTGACAGCTTTAAAGTAATATCTTTTTTATTTACATATTTGCTGTTACGTCGATAACAAGCGTTATTTAGACGATAGTGTAATTCTTCAAATCCAAGATTTTAGCATACTAGTAGTATATACGTTTATACGTATGTACGTTTAACCGTAATGTACTACATATGACGTACATGCGTCACGTGACGTCAGTGATTACAATTGACAATTACTAACCTACAACGACTGTGTAATAGTAAAACGCCTATCTCTCTCTCTCTCTCTCTCATCCTTACAATCTCCTCTCTCGTCGTCTCTCTCCTCTTCTCCTCTCTCTCTACTCTTTCTCCTCTCTCCTCTTTCTCATATCTCATCTCTCGTTCGTCTTTCTCTGTCCTCTCTCTCGTCCCTGCCTCTGACTCTATCTATCATGCTCCTCTCCTCTCATACTGTTGTTCTCGTGCGCTCGTCTCTCTCGTTCGCGTCTCTATCTCTCTGCTCTCATCGCTCATCTACTTACCGATGACTGTTACGTTGATAGTGGCGCTATCCTTGCCGGATTCGTTAGAGACGCTTATCTTATAGATTCCGCTCTCGTTGCGCTTGCATTTGCTAATGCTAAGGCTCGTGTCCTTATCACTCGTGTGCACCTCACAGCTGCTAGGCAGAGACTTCTCATCGTGGTCCCACGTGACCTAAACGAAGGGGTTGCATGTAACAGCAGTAACCACATCAACAACAGCAGCAGCAGCAGCAGCAGTATCGGCAGCATAGTAGACAACAACATCATCATCATCATCATCATCATCATCATCATCCACAACAACAACAACAACAACAACAACAACAACAACAAAAACAACAACAACAACAACAGCAGCAACCACAGCAACCACAGCAGCAGCAGCAGTAGCACAACGAAATACATCGAGAATATCAAAGATAAGAAAATACATTTAATAAACATAACAGAAATGTTAAACTGCGTAATGTTGTACCGCGGTATTTTTTAGCTTAATTGTTGCCGATGACAGAAATACTTCTTACCTGTGGCTTTGGTTCACCGGTGAAAGGTGCAGTTATAGTTAGTAATTTGCCCACACGTATTTGTACTTCCTTAACAACTTCGCCGAGCTTAGCAGGTACTGGAAAAATTAAGCGAATGGATTCGGTATTACACTTATAAGATATTTTTACAGAGCACAATTACGATCACAGCACCAATATGTGGGTTGGCCTTTAATGACCATGTTTCATTAGATTGGAACACTTGGTATTGGTAGCGTATACAATGTTATTTACGTACAGGAATGACCGACTGTAATCCAGGTAGAGTACACTGTTATATATATTATGTGAATATGCGTACCGTTTCTCGCCTTGATTGTGACTGGCTTAGAGGGCTCGCTGGGTTTGCTAGTTCCCGCCTTGTTCACTGCCTTTACTCTGAACTGGTACTCATTGCCTTCAGTAAGTCCCTTAGCTGTTAACTTTAAGGTCGCGCCATCGACGTTGGACACCTAAACACAATCCGAGCACTTGTTTATATATATATATGTTGTTGCATATAAAACGACAATAAAAGTTGTGACGGTATAGCTGGAACGTTCACACATATAAATGGCCAGCATATCGCTGATAAACTACCATCAGCTAATTGCAGGCTGTTTGCGACTAAAAGTAACATTATTTCTATTCAATAACACTGAAGATACCTTGACCCAGTTAATGCTCTTGTTGTCCTTGCGCTCGATTATGTACTCGGTAATGAATGTGCCACCATCGTGCTTCGGTGGCTTCCACGCAAGATCTGCATGGCTCTCGTCCCAGTCAACGACCTCTGGTGCGTCAGGGGCGTCGGGCTCGTCTGCCATGCACGGAAGTGAGAAGATGTTTTAAGTGCGAATGGAAGGCATGTCTCACTCACCGCAAAAGACCGACTCAGCAATGCCGATGTTTGTTATGACAACAACAGCGAGAACAAACTCATGTATTAGAGTCATTCCTGTGAAGCGATAACTGCATCTTTACGTCCCGTTCGCGAATAACTCCAGTGGCACTTCTCTCAATGCTCAACACTACGAAATGCTGCACGGCAATCGAAGAGGAAATGTTTATTTTCGGGATGCGGAATTGAATCGTTTTAATACCGACGTAATAATTTATATGATCGATCGGCGATTTTATTTTTAAGTGGAAAATGGAAATGGTGGATATTTTTAACCTGGGTCACTCGACATCGGCCTCCACTACCACTCCCCTGTCGTGAAAGCTAACAGCGCCAGATCTATCCCCGCGGTATACACATACACTTACCGAACGGATTCTTTGCGACGGTCGACTTCTCCGTCTCCAACGGCTCCGACTCGCCGACGACGTTGACGGCCTTCACGCGGAACATGTACTCCTTTCCCTCGACGAGCTTGACGCCCTTGACGTACAGCGCCGACGTGCTGCCGACGCCGGCGTCGGCCCACGTGCCGCGCTTCACGTCCATCTTCTCGACGACGTAGTGCGTGATCGGCGAGTTGCCGTCTTCTAGCGGCACCTCCCACTCCAGCGTGCAGCTCTCTTTCGTCACGTCGCACACGACTAGGGGAGCCTTCGGCGGGCCAGGCTTACCTGCGTCAAAGAAGCGTCGGTGTGAGTGAGGGCGAAGATGATTAGGTGAAGGTCGAGGAGAATTAGGTGAAGGTCGAGGAGAATTAGGTAAAGGTCGAGGAGAATTAGGTAAAGGTCGAGGAGAATTAGGTGAAGGTCGAGGAGAATTAGATAAATGTTGCGGAGAATTAGGCGAAGGTCAAGGAGAATTAGGCAAAAGACAAGGAGAATTAGGCGAAAGACAAGGAGAATTAGGCGAAGGTCGAGGAGAGTCATCGTCGGCTGTCAGAGAGTCATCACCTAACTTAACCTTAACTAAACTTAGCTTAACTTCACCTACTTAACTTAACTTAACTATATTTGGCTTAACTTGACTTAACATAACTTAACTTAATTTAACTTAACCTAACTTAGCCGAACTCAACTTAACTTGACTTGACTTATCTTAACTTAATTTAACTTAACTTATCCACTACTTATTTTCACTATCCACTCGTCGTAGCTTGCCAATTGTTAGCTAAGCCCATGCTATGCTATGCCACGTTTATTGGGAATCGTGGCTACCTGGTTTGATCAATGTAAACGTTGTTGACGTACCAATGACAGTAATCTTGGCTGCAGCTGATTCTGTACCGGACTGGTTCTTCACAGTCAGCTTGTACTGGCCAGCGTCGCTGTTCTCTGCCTTCCGTATTGTCACCTATTCAATAAAACGCAGTGTGCTGTAGCGACATTTGTCTGTGAACACGATGTGATCTCCGTGATGATTACATGGTATCAGGAGTGTATGATATAGAGAACATATATTTCTATATTATGCACTCCTGATGGTATCACATCACATGCTAACGTGTCATCGTATATAACATACCTGACAGAGTAGAATGTAGTGACAACCCAAGCAGGGCGTTAAGAACGGTTGAAATGAAATGAATTGAATTGAATTGAATTGAACGGTGGCACGGAATAACGGAACATAATAGAATTATCGCGCCCCGATGCTACAATCGAACGACGTACCCGCGTGCGAGTCGCTGTCACCTCCACCTCAACTCTGTTGGACTGCCTTAATGGTTTCCCGTTCAGCTGCCACTCGGCTTCCGGGGCGGGGTCGCCACCGATCTCAACGTTAAGTTCGATCTTCTTACCAACCGTCACCGTCTGATCCTTAATTCCCACTCTGTTTATGGAGGCTGGAACTGCAATGACGGATAAACCCACAAAGTAAATAGGTGCTGGAATATCTATTTTGCGCATCTTATTTTGCGGCGTATTTTGCGACAATTATGTTTGAAGTTTACATGTGATGTGTGTTGGCGTTATACGATGCTACTATATCGTTTGTGTAACACACTCCTCGATGAAAAAAGTATCTGATGTTGGCGTAATTTTAATCGATGGATATTTGTTATAAAATTAGTAATAGAAGATAAACGAAATAAACTAGTTCAGAATCTACCATCATTTTTATATTAATTAGCTACACCGATGAGTACGCTTACCATATCGTTGCTTGGCCACTTGTGGGGTAGACGGGTCACTAGCGACACTGGGGCCTTCCTTGTTGACCGCTATTACGCGGAATACATACTCATTGCCTTCAGTTAGGTCGGGTACTGTCGCCTTCAGCTGATCTCCTGTTCAGTGTAATATGACAATTAGATTTTAGACCGAGGCAAACGTGTTAAATTGTACTCCACTATGACGCGAATAAGCAATCGCCATATAACATACATAACGCGTTTATAACTTCCTCGAGTGTCGTTAAATACGTAGGAACTATTTAATTCTAAATAGCCTATCCGTACTATTTAGTACGGATACTACTATGCCTATCCGTACTGAATCACGGTTGAGTACATACCGGGGGCTTCCAACGCCTGATCCCACAAGCTAAACGTGTCTTTCTGCTCCAGTATATAACTAGTAATAGTGGAGCCACCATCCTTCTTGGGCGGTTTCCACGTGACGTCCATGTGGTGCTTATCCCAGTCCGTCACTACGGGCGCATCTGGTTTACCCGGTGCATCTAAACGATGGATAAAAAATACGCGATATATCGCAATAGATCATAGATGCAACTAGCTCGTGAAGATACAAACGTATAAAACGTAAAATAAGTATAATTAACTTATTTATAACATTTTACACGGTTCCTTGCGGTAAATTAAGGAAATTATATATATATATGATACTCAGGTTTTATTTTTATTTTTCTTAAATAATCACCGAACGGATTCTTCGCAGTGATGGCATCCTTGGTTGCTAGCGGTTCTGAGTCGCCATACTTGTTGACGGCCTTCACTCTAAACCTGTACTGATGAGCGTGAACCAGCTTGCTCAGTGACACTGTCATCTCTGACGTCTGTTCAGCCGGCTCCCAGTTGCCCTTCGCTAGATCCATCTTCTCCACTACGCGGGTGAAAATGTACAACATAGAGCGTCGCATTGAGATCGAAACGTCCCGAAACTTCGTCGCAAAATTCGTCTCGGCAGAATTACGCGTTAGTATTCACTGCGATCGAATTGTCGCATGTTAGCATGCACATTCCGATAAACGCGTAAATATGCTGACTGTAAATTCACTTCTCCCTCGCGTGAATGAAATAAGAGCGGATTTTATAACCGTTACATTTCTAACCAGCCGATTTTTTCGTAAATTTAACAAATCGCGTTTGCCACTTTGCCGTATAACTTGCGCGTACTTGTATAATGCGTGATTCTGGATCCTCCGTCGTCTGATGGTTCTTTCCATGAGAGCGTGGCGGTCTCCTTGGTGACATCGTCGACCTCTAACGACCTTGGCACACCTGGGCGGTCTACATTGGAATAAATCGACGCATATATTTATTATATGAAAGAAGCACGTACAATGCACTGAAACATCCATACGATTAATGGATACTGACAGGAAAACAAAACAACCGACAATAGGCCCCCACGGAAAGACGCCATACATTGAATAATCGTTGTAACTACCGTACTGTAACGAGTGCGCACGAACAGATATTATTTCTACGATGCATTTGAGGTTATACGCTCACGCTTGCGATTATGTACGTACCTACTACCAAAACAGCCGCGGTTGCGCTGTCCTCTCCGAATTCGTTCTTCAGGGTCAGTGTGTAAGGGCCGGCGTCGCTTCTGACTGACTCCGCACACACCAGCCTAGCGTCCTTGTCTGCAACAACAAACCGCGGATTCGCTATGCTGTCTAGACGTCTACATTCATACTTTTTAGTCTCATTAATGTCGAGAGTGTATTCAAACAGACGCGCACGAATCGTGAATCTACTACCGACTATGGTATAAATCCTACGACAGTACAACTATGCAAGAAACCTGGCGCCAACGCCTTCTGCTTGCTCATGTATTATAACTTCTTAGACGAAAGATAGTGAAAAAATAGAGGGCGGGAGAGATAGAGAAGAGTGATATATATATAGAGAGAGAGAGAGAGGGGAGGGAGAGAGAGAAGGGAGAAAAAGAGAGAGAGGGTAGAGAGAGAGAGAGAGAGAGACGAGAGAGAACGAGAGAGATGAGAGAAAGAGAGAGGTAGAAAAGAGAGAGAGAGAGAGGAGAGAGAGAGAGAGAGAGAGAGAGAATTCGTGTTCGAAAACGGTGGTAATCAGGCACACATGTTTTGATGTTACTGGGCAGTTAGTGCAATTAATGAATCACCCGTGTTTGTGATCGTGATTCTGTCGGTAGTCTTCAGCTTCTTGTCCTGCAAGGTCCAAGTGACATCTGGCGTCGGCTCGCCAACGAACGGTGCTTCAAATTCAAACTTGGCACCTGCCTTCACTTTGATGTCAGTCAGCGCAGCCTTGTTGATCTTAGGCGGAACTGAAAGTTATAACGTCACGATTAGATGCCTAGCTCGACGCCTTGAATGTAGCAGGCTTATGTAACTTTAAAAATCTATGCGACACAAACCATTCTCGAATAAGAGAAATCAATTTTATTGATCACTCGTAGGGCGAGGTTAGGTATAAAATTACAAGACAGATAAACCTTTTTGGGATCTATATCTTCTTGGGTTTTATATGCTCTAGGGTTGATGACCCTAAGCCTAATCCTCTGAATATTACATACTGACGCACACTTTCTGGCAGTGTACCACGGCAGGATTGTTCAGGTTTTATGACTGCGAGTATGTATACCTCGGCGGGCCTTCGCTAGGAGTGGTTCAGAGGCATCGCTGGGCTCTCCCGGCCCAGCCTTGTTCACGGCAATTACTCTGAACTGGTACTCCTGTCCGGATTCCAGTCCGTGTACTGTCGTCTTCGTCTGCTCTGGCTCTACTCTCGCAACCTAGACAGAGGAGTAACCAATAACGCTGCTATTAGAGTTAGCTTAAATTCCTACACGACAGATATCTGCTATGTACTACATTAACGTGCTAATCATTATGTCTCCTTTATCCATCATAGGTAGATTAGGCATGTCAAGTAGTAATTTATCGGTATAGATCAAGCGATGATAGTCGGCCTGGTAGAAGTACTGAGAGAACTGAGACCAGTCATCATTTAATTATAGCAGCTGGGAGTATCAAGGGATTCGGCCTTAAATTACAAACAGCGCGGGAGCGGGGGTTAAATTTGTGAAAAATTCTTAATAATGACCTTATTCCAAGATGTGCTGAATTTATCTCGCTGTTCGATGACGTAATCGGTAATGGGGGAGCCACCGTCGGACGCGGGTGGCTTCCATGCGAGGTCGGCGTGGTCCCTGTCCCAGTCTTCTGCCACCGGTGCGCCCGGTTTACCTGGTGCATCTGCAACACACACATTACACATATTAATTATCACTATATACCTTACATTAGAATACTGCTGTGAAAGTGCAGTTAATATTGAAACAGTTGCTAAGGCAGACTTTAAAGAAGGTTAAAAATCAGGTAGCTCGGAACAAGGCCATGCTTAACAATAAACATAACGATCATAATAATCAACGTCATCGCTATCGTCATCGCTATCGTCATCGCTATCGTCATCGCTATCGTCATCGCTATCGTCATCGCTATCGTCATCGCTATCGTCATCGCCATATTTTTGCGTGAAGGTGTGCATGCGTGTGTGTCTGCGCATGTGTGCGAGTTCGTGTGCGTATGCGTGCGTGCGTGCATGGGTGCGTGCGTGTGCGGATGCCTGTATATTTACGTACCGTATGGGGGCTTGGCACTCACTGGCCTGCATGGGTGGCTAGGCGGACTACAGCCGGCAACGTTAAGCGCTATGACTCTATACTCGTAGGCAGCGAGCTCGGTCACGCTGGTGTCTGTGAATTCTAACGGCTAAGATAGGACAAAAATACTGGTTATATTACACTTTTTTTTATGTTTCCACTAGTTACCATTGGCATTTCACGTATGAGAACAATTACTGGTCTATAAATAGTTTTTGGATCTATCAAAACAATATTTTGTACGTCATTATTGTTTCGTATTGATAAAATGTACGGTATTACACGGCTTCCATTTAGAATGCTGTTATGGTGTTATAGTTATGGTTGTTTTATGGTCTGCTATTATGTTATGGTTATGTTATAAATGACGTTATTATGTCTTAACGAAATTATATAGGTGTGAGAATGAATTAGATATGTGGTTAAATCATGGCACGAGTGTTCACCCTTATTGATCAATTGACGATTGTAATATCTAAAAAAAACGAACGATTGCACAAAGACGTTTAGTAAGATACATTCTGTATAATGTCGACACCTGACAAGTTTATATTCTTAGACATTTTAGGGCTGGTAAATTTAATTACCATAATGGCAAGAATATGAAGATTATCTGGAGTTGACGAATCCTAAAATCAAAATATATTTACAGAAACCAACACGAATACACAAGAAATAAAACAAATAAATAAGCACATAAATACATACATAATTAACTAAAGCTAGTGAGTGGAGTTAATAATTAGTTTGCTAATTACCAATCAGCAATCACAAACTAATTAAGGATTTACTTTGCCTACCAAGACGGGCTTTTTCGTAACCTTCTTCCACTTCTTCCCATCCGCGTCCTTCCTCTCCACATCGTAGCCAGTGATCGGGCTTCCCCCGTCGCTCTCCGGCGCTGTCCACTTGATACTGATGTGATCGGTATCCTGTTCGATGACCGTTGGCCGGCCTGGTGCTAGCGGTTCGTCTGCGCACGCCGGTCATCGGGTAACGTTTAATTTCTATACGTAGACTTAGCCAGTAGATGAAGTGGAAACGCATGGCAAGCATAGCGGGTTAGACCAGGGAGGGTGTGAGTGGGCAGTGCATCGGTCATTTGTAACTTAAAGCTGTAAATTCCGATTCATGAAAAGGCGGGGCCATGATTCTAGAGTTCTGACAGATGATTTAGCCACCAACCGATTCTTTACCAAGACTAAAAACGTTTTTTGCACAAAATGTTTTTACTACTCTTCGCAATAATATAATTCTTTACTTCCGTCAAACTGTTTATTAGACGTCTATATAAGTTCGCTCTGTGCCTTGAACAAATGTTAGTAGTGGTAGTTCTAAGCTGGTGTATCAATCACTCGTCTAAATCTAAGCTGATTTACAATGACCGTAATAACCTCGCAAATGATAGCTAGCACTTACCGAACGGATTCTTCGCCACGATCTGCGCACTGAGTAGGAATTCAGAGACTCCGTTTTGATTCTCTGCGCACACGCGGAAGTTATAGGTCTCTCCCTCGGTCAACTTCATCACATCCACGGTGGTGTCCGAGCAGTACTGGTTGACGGCTGTCCATCGCTTCTTCTTCACGTTTTGCCGTTCGACACAGTACGATCTGACCACCGAGAAAAAAATGTCCGGTATTATAAAGGTGATGCTATGAGCATCCATATACATGTTCTACTTGCTTCGATTCAATTTCCGGGCGTAACTCATCTGAATAAACATTTCCCGTGGGAACACGCACGTGATTTTCGAGCCTCCGTCATCCTTGGGTGGTTTCCATGTTAATGTACAGCTGTCTGAAGTGATGTTAGACACATCTAGTGGTCCTTCCGGAGGTCCCGGCTTGTCTGCGATAACGCAAATGACAGTAGCGCTGTTACAGCACTTACGCACTTGCAGTGTATTCACACTTACGCACTTGCAGTGTATTCACACTTTGTGTGACGTGAATTCATGAATTGAAATTAAATTAACACAGAGACTTGACAACGTCTCACTGGGGAAAGCCCTAAAAAGATGGAAGGAGTAGACGCAAAAGAAAAAGATGGAGAATTCGGCAACATGATCTCTTCGGTGCTTATTTTTTAGTATCAATTACAATATTGCGTGCTTTCCGGCGGGCTTTAGCAAAGGGATTCATTAGAGTCAGTAAGTTTCTTTACCAGTCACGATGACGTTGCATGTAGCAGTGTCTCTGCCTGATTCGTTGGTAATAGTCAGCGTGTAGGCACCGGAGTCGGCACGCTGTGATTCCTTGATATTAACTGCAGCGTGGTCTTCTGTAGAAAGTGTAACATGATAGTAAACAAGACAAATTCACCAGATTATTATTTATTATTTATCAACTAATCAAAGATTGCTGCGCTGTTTCAGCGATTAACGATTAGAATTAAACGAAATTTACTCATTAACGTTATTTATTTTCATCGACAACGATCACACAATACGCTGTTTCCTTCATGTACGCGGTAGCAACGACGTTTCATTCCCAACCGTTAATATTTAATCGTTCGCTTATGTAGTAACTAACTCTTACGCAACTATATATGCTACACCTACCTGTGGTAGTTAACACGACTCTCTTGCTAGCCTTCAGCTCCTTGCCATCGACGTTCCATTTCACCTCGGGCGTCGGCTCGCCTACGATGCTCGCTTCCAGCGCCACCTGCTGTCCTGCCTTCACACGCAACTCGCTCGGCAAATCGGCTCCGATTTTCGGCGCGACTGAACACGTGAAATGGCGCGTGAGTGGCAGACGAATTTTCGACGTCACGGACGAAACAAGGCGTGCAGAGTGAAGAGATGCATGCAATATGCACATGAACGTGCGGTTGTACCACCGCCTTCGTCCCGCCTCGCGGAACTCACGACATGTGAGCGACACCTTAACGTGACTACTCGACCATCTTTGTCTTGTTTTACAATATATCACAGCTAGTTGGTCCGCATAAGTCACGTAAATAGAAAGATGACGTTAGACCATGACTAAAATATCACATGCTGTGCAGTTGTCAGACACTAGATGCAGAACACTTAACATGGTGCCTTTATTTAGTGCTTAAGCGGGTACACCGAATACGGGCACACAGGACTGTACTGGGGGTAAACATATATTAAACTTACGTAATGTACAAATGTTATTATTAGTACTAGTTTAAAATAAGTACTAGTTTGAACTGAGTGCTTCCATCGTCGGCCATAGCTATATCACAGCACGTGCTTAACAAATAGAAAATGCTTAGTGCGCAGGTCGGAGGCCTTTGTATAGAGAATCGTGGTATCACTTATGAGTTATAGTCAGTATCATCACGCTTGATAACGCCACACGGACTCACCAAATCTTGGCTTAGCCTTGAAGGACTTTGACGGTTCGCTGGGCTGGCTATTGCCGGCCTTGTTGACGGCAATAACGCGGAACTGGTACTCCTTACCCATACTCAGACCAGTGACCGTGCACCGACACTTATCGCCGCTGGTTTCCTCGACCTCCGCCCAACTGGCGGACACGCTGTCGCGTTTCTCTATGACATATTTAATGATTGGGGTGCCCCCGTCACTGACAGGTCGTTCCCACACTAGGTCGGCGTGGGTACTGTCCCACTCCTGCACCTCTGGGGTGTCAGGCTTATCGGGAACATCTGAAATCGTCGAAGGGCGCGACTTAGGCGACAGACAGGCATGCGACGCAGCATGATAATGGAGATGTCTGCGCAGCTTCAGCGCGCGTGGTGCAGATGGGGCACGATCGTCGCGCCATCTACATCATGAGTGCCGAGGGTTACGTAGACCGCCATTATCATGTAACAGTCAAGACGATATACGGATAGTGCACAGCACGGTGGCGTTGTATTTAATATAGAGTGGCGTACAACCACGGCGACTCTGTCTGATAGATTAGAGATGCGAACACCGAGTCATGCAGTAGGCGAATACATGACGCAAAACGCATAAACACGGCGAGGCGTCTGCGTTTGCTCAAAACTGTGATCTGCAGAGCAGATCCGCTATTTTGGCAGATAGTCTTGTACAACACGCCCGCAGCTTTAAAAGCGCAGGGTCGTAAGAACATTTAGAAGCCACGGTTCGCGTGCCCTGTGCAATGACATAGTAAAGTACAACACATGTAACGAGTGCATCGTTGACGTTTGTTACGCTCTCATGCAAATTGGATTCCTATCCAGGGTGATGCTGTCAGAAAGATTCGACGTTAAAATACGATTTTACGTCGTAGATCTGTGACGAAAATCTGTCCAGCAACGGTCGCTAATTCTATGTTGCGTTTACGCGTGAAAATTGATTAGCTTGAATGTCGTGCATTTGTTATCGACCGCATTTCATGAATTCATCTTCAGTGTCCTTCAGTCACCCTCTCCGGTATCACTCACGTTAATAATTATTATATGTGCTACTTCTCGCAGCACTGCTTTTACAACGGCATACTCATCGTTTATATTTACCAAGCTATCGCGTGTGTTCGCAATAGTTTATTGGTATATAGGTCACTTATGCAAATATCCATCTATTATGCAAGTTGCACGGGAGAGGAGGTCGGGTCAGCGTGGACAAGGCGGACAGGCTGGAAGGTGTACAGGATGAGAGGTAATGGTACAGGGTTACAGTGCATGAGTTGGTCCATGATGTGAGGTAGTGGTACAACATTGAAGGTGGTGGTACAGGATATTGAAGGTGGTGGTATAGGATTGAAGGTGGTGGTATAGGATTGAAGGTGATGGTATAGGGTGGGAGTTGATACGTGATGTAACGTGGTGATACATGGCTGGAGGAAATGGTTCAGGGTGGGAAGAGGTGGTACAGGCTGGAAGGAGGCAGTACAGCTTGTGGGGTGGTAAATGGTGAGAGGTGATAGTACAGAATTTGGGGTGATGGTACGGGTTGGGAGGAGGTGGGACCGAGTGGGAGAAGGTGGCACCTGTGAAAGATAGCTGCAAATTGGAGACGGATACACGTGAAATAGTAACACGTACAATCTCTACGGGACGCAGATCCACTACATTACCATACGCTGTAGATTCATCAGCCTTACTAGTCGATGCCATCCATATAGGCGATGAAGGTAGCGGAAATTACACATGGGAAACGTGAGGTTGCGGCACCTACCGTACGGCAGCTTGATAGTGACGGGCTTCTCCGTCTCGAGTGGCTCCGACTCTCCCTGAGCGTTGACGGCCTTCACGCGGAACATGTACTCCTTGCCTTCGATCAGCTTCGTCACCTTGGCGCTCAGCTCTGCCCGCTGCGTTGCCTCGGACCACGTGCCGCGGCTCGTCTCCATCTTTTCGATGATGTAGTGGAAGATCTCCGAGCCGCCGTTGTCTTCTGGAGCCTTCCAGGTAAGCATGCACGAGTCCTTGCCGACGTCGGACACGGTCAGCGGTGCAATCGGCGGTCCTGGTTTGTCTGAAGCGTAACGCGGAGAGAGCGGGTGAGACGGTGAGACGGTGAGCGGGTGAGCGAATGTATTCACGCATAAAATTAACATCTAATTATATTCTACTCCACTCCACTCCACTCCACTCCACTCCACTCTACTCCACTCCACTCCACTCCACTCCACTCTACTCCACTCTACTCTACTCTACTCTACTCTACTCTACTCTACTCTACTCTACTCTACTCTACTCTACTCTACTCTACTCTACTCTACTCTACTCTACTCTACTCTACTCTACTCTACTCTACTCTACTCTACTCTACTCTACTCTACTCTACTCTACTCTACTCTACTCTACTCTACTCTACTCCACTCCATCCATCACTCACTCTACTCTAC